TTAGAGATCCTTCCTGGGTCATGGCTGCCTAAAATGCATCCAAACATTCAGCATCTCCTCCCTCTGCATGCAGACACTGAACTTCCTCATAGAGATTCATTGATTCAATTCATCTCTGTGAGGAGATGCTGATTGGCCAGGGCTGTGTTTGAATTGTGCTGGCTCTGCCCCTGATCTGCCTCCTTGTCAGTCTCAGTCAATCCTATAGGGAAGCATCGTGATTGGATCAGGCCACCACTTCTGATGATGTCAGCAGACAGCTTGTTTTTCTGAGGCAAACAGCATGCAGAGCTACAGCTTCAGGCTTGAATACAGTAATATTTTGCTATATTTATGGAGGCATGAGGAGCCCAAGGGGGCTAGATGGTGGTTTTAACACTATAGGGTCAGGAATACATGTTTGTGCTCCTGACCCTATAGTGCTCCGGAACAGGGCCCTAGTCACCGTTTAGGTGACAAGGGCTCTATAGTGTTAGGAATACATATTTGTATTCCTAACGCAATAGTGTTCCTTTATTGCATTTTATTCTGACTACATCTATCTTAGAGAGCTGATTCATATGAGTTGTCATTTCACAGCCTTTTATGCACAACAACCTCAATCATCAAAACCTCACTTTCAATCAGTTTGATATACAGTAAATTGCGATCATGAATGGTTTGCAATTGTCTTAAAAAAAGTATTTTTTTTAGTTTGTTTAAAACTGAATAGAAATTTGCCTCTCCTAGGATATTATACTATTGTGGCCGGAAAATGTAAGTTTACGGTCCTGAGGTTAATATATACATTTAAATATGTTATTACATTCTGTCTACAAATGTTGCTGTTGGACAACTACATATCAGCTTCTTTTAGTCAGCCAACCAACCAACGCCTTGAAGTACACATTGATAGTGGAGGTTGGAAAAAAATTGCCAGTGAAACAAATTGAATAAGTGGTGTGGAACTGCCCAAGAAATCTCGATATTGTAACCATCATTATTCAATTGAAAATAATATATGCATACATTGACAATATCCAGGCTCTGTGTATTGTCACTTTCACTGTAAAGCTCAATGAAGTGGTCTGGGTGCCAGGTCCATCTAGTGTTAACCCTGCAGCTGTAAGCATAGCAGTTTCAGAGAAACTGCTATGTTTACAATAGGGTTGATCCAGCCTCTAGTGGCTGTCTCACTGACAGCCGCTAGAGGCGCTTCCGCGCTTTTCACTGTGAAAATCACAGTGAGAAGACGCTGACGTCCATAAGAAAGCATTGAGTAAAGCTTTCCTATGGGCTGTTTCAATGCGCGCGCGCTGCTTTTGCCGCGCATTCGCATTCGGCGGATGACGTTGGCAGAGGGAGGACAGTTCCTCAGTGCCGAGGGAGCCCGACGCTGGAGAAAGGTAAATGTTTAACCCCTTAAGCCCTATTCAGCTCAGCGCGAGGGGGCCCTGAGGGTGGGGGGACCTAAAGACCCTATAGAGTCAGGAAAACGAGTTTGTTTTCCTGGCACTATAGTGCTCCTTTAACTTTGGGAACATTCTATCAGTTAGTAGCTGTAGTGCTGATGTTGGTCTCAGTTCTCCTTAGAATGTATATATAATATATATTTATATATATACAGTCAGGTCCATTAATATTGGGACATCGACACAATTCTAATCTTTTTGGCTCTATACACCACCACAATGGATTTGAAATGAAATGAACAAAACGTGCTTCAACTGCAGACTTTCAGCTTTAATTTACATCCAAATCAGGTGAACTGTGTAGGAATTACAACAGTTTGTATATGTGCCTCCCACTTTTCAAGGGACCAAAAGTAATGGGACAATTGGCTGCTCAGCTGTTCCATGGCCAGGTGTGTGTTATTTCCTCATTAACCCATTTACAAGGAGCAGATAAAAGGTCCAGAGTTCATTTCAAGTGTGCTATTTGCATTTGGAATCTGTTGCTGTCAACTCTCAATATGAGATCCAAAGAGCTGTCGCTTTCAGTGAAGCAAGCCATCATTAGGCTGAAAAAACAAAACGAACCCATCAGAGAGATAGCAAAAACATTAGGTGTGGCCAAATCAACTGTTTGGAACATCCTTAAAAAGAAAGAACGCACCGGTGAGCTCAGCAACACCAAAAGAACCGGAAGACCACGGAAAACAACTGTGGTGGATGACCAAAGAATTCTTTCCCTGGTGAAGAAAACACCCTTCACAACAGTTGGCCAGATCAAGAACACTCTCCAGGAGGTAGGTGTATGTGTGTCAAAATCAACAATAAAGAGAAGACTTCACCAGAGTGAATACAGAGGGTCACCACAAGATGTAAACCATTGGTGAGCCTCAAAAACAGGAAGGCCAGATTAGAGTTTGCCAAACAACATCTAAAAAGCCTTCACAGTTCTGGAACAACATCCTATGGACAGATGAGACCAAGATCAACTTGTACCAGAGTGATGGGAAGAGAAGAGTATGGAGAAGGAAAGGAACTGCTCATGATCCAAAGCATACCTCCTCATCAGTGAAGCATGGTGGTGGTAGTGTCATGGCGTGGGCATGTATGGCTGCCAATGGAACTGGTTCTCTTGTATTTATTGATGATGTGACTGGTGACAAAAGCAGCAGGATGAATTCTGAAGTCTTTCGGGCAATATTATCTGCTCATATTCAGCCAAATGCTTCAGAACTCATTGGACGGCGCTTCACAGTGCAGATGGATAATGACACGAAGCATACTGCAAAAGCAACCAAAGAGTTTTTTAAGGGAAAGAAGTGTAATGTTATGCAATGGCCAAGTCAATCACCTGACCTGAATCCGATTGAGCATGCATTTCACTTGATGAAGACAAAACTGAAGGGAAAATGCCCCAAGAACAAGCAGGAACTGAAGACAGTTGCAGTAGAAGCCTGGCAGAGCATCACCAGGGACATAGGCGTGTGCATGGGGTGTGCCGTTTGTGCCTGGGCACACCCTAATCCCCGCGGCACGCCTATGGAGTGAGACCGGCAGTGGAGATCTCAGGATCTCCCCTGTCGGCTCATGCAGAGCCGGCACTATCCAAGCGCTGACTCTGCTCTCAGCCTCCCTCCCCACTGCAGCATGGAGGGAGGCAGGAGAGGACCCGAGGAGCTCAACCAGCAGCTCCTCCGGGTTCCTCCCGCGAGTTCTGAGCCGTGGCAACGCTCAGATCTCGCGAGAGTGAACTCTAGCCCCACAGGGGGCTAGAGTTCACTCTCCACTGGACCACCAGGGATGGCAGCAGGAACAAGAATCCCCCCTCCCTACATAAGGTAAGATGGAAGGGGGGATATTAAGTAATGTACCCCCACCTCCACCCCCACAATCACCCACACACATCCACACACACAGCACCCACACAGCACCTACACACACAGCACCCACACACACATAGCATACACACACATACTGCACACACACACATACAGCACACACAGCACCTACACACATACAGCACACACATACACACAGACACACAGCACACACACACATACAGCACCCACACGCACACACACACACATACAGAAAACACATACATACAATACCCACACACAGCACACACACACACATACAGCACATACACAGCACACACAAACAGCACCCACACACATACAATACCCACACACAGCACACACACATACAGAACCCATACACACACAGCAAACACACATACATACAGCACCCACACACACACACAGCACACACACGCATACAGCACCCTCACACACATACACCACACACACACAGCACACACACACATACAGAGCACACAGCACACACATACAGCACCCACACACACATACAGCACCCTCACACACATAGAGCTCACACATACAGTACCCACACACATACAGCACCCACACACACATACAGCACACACACAGACACACACACACACACACGGCACACACATACAGCACCTTCACACATACAGCACACACACACAGCACCCACACACATAAAGCCCCCTCTCACACACACACACACACACACAGCACACACACATACAGCACACACACACATACAGCACACCCACACACACACAAAACCCACACACATACAGCACCCTTGCACATACAGCACCCTCTCACACACAGCACAGAAACAGCACCCTCACAAACTCACACACAGCACCCTCACACACACAGCACACTAACAGGACCTTAACAAACACACACAGACACACACACAGCACACACATACAGCACCTTCACACATACAGCACACACACACAGCACCCACACTCATACAGCACCCACACACATACAGCACCCTCACACACACCGCACACACATACAGCACATACAGCACACACACACATACAGCACACACACACATACAGCACCCACACACACATTCAGCACACACACACATACAGCACCCTCACACACATACAGCACACACCCACATACAGCGCACACACACACACGCACACACACAGCACACACATACAGCACCTTCACACATACAGCACCCACACACACACACAGCACCCACACACATAGAGCACCCACACACACAGCACCCACACATAGCACACACATACAGCACCCCCACACACACACACATACAGCAACCCACACACACACAACACATACACATACAGCACCCACACACACACACAGCATCCCCACACACACACCACACACAGCACACACACACACACACACATACAACACACACAGCACCTTCACACATACAGCACCCACACACACACACAGTACACACATACAGCACCCACACACACACAGTAACTCTCACACACATACAGCACACACACACATAAGGTGCACCTTCGTATACAGCACCCTTCACACAGTATACAGAAATAGCACCCCTACAAAATACACACACAGCACACTAACAGGACCCTAACAAACAAACACACACACACACACACACAAACAGCCTCACACACACACAGCACACAAACAGCACCCTCACACACAGCACCCTTACACACACACACACACACACACACAGCACCCTTACACACACAACACCCTCAAACCACCCTCATGCAGCACACACACACAGCAGTGTATGTATGTGTGTGTGTGTGTGTATATATATATATATATGTATATATATATATATATATACACACACACACACACATACATACACTGCTGTGTGTGTGTGCTGCATGAGGGTGGTATATATGTGTGTGGGTGCTGTGTGTGTGGGTGCTGTGTGTGTGTGCTGTATGTGTGAAGGTGCTGTATGTGTGTGCCGTGTGTGTGCGTGTCTGTGTGTGTGCTGTATGTGTGTGTGGGTGCTGTATGTGTGTGGGTACTGTATGTGTGAGCTGTATGTGTGTGATACATATACACACACACACATACATATACACGCGGCGTGTGTTTGTGCTTTAGGGTGCACACTCTAATGCAATAGGCTGCGCACGCCTATGACCAGGGATGAAACCCAGCATCTGGTGATGTCTATGCGTTCCAGACTTCAGGCTGTAATTGACTGCAAAGAATTTGCAACCATGTATTAAAAAGTGAACGTTTGATTTATGACTGTTAATCTGTCCCATTACTTTTGGTCCCTTAAAAAGTGGGAGGCACATATTCAAACTGTTGTAATTCCTACACCGTTCACCTTATTTGGATGTAAATACCCTCAAATTAAAGCTGAAAGTCTGCAGTTAAAGCACATCTTGTTTGTTTCATTTCAAACCCATTGTTTTGGTGTATAGAGCCAAAAAGATTAGAATTGTGTTGATGTCCCAATATTTATGGACCTGACTGTATTACTCACTGTAGGCAGCCAGCATGTCACTGGCTGCCCCAAGTCTATACATTCCTATTAGCCGAGTGACTGAGAGGAAGACAGTGGAGGCAGCATGACAGAAGACAGGCATCCAGAGAGGGACACAAATTTGTTGTTTAACTGTTTGAAAACAGTTTAATGCTGTAAGGTAAGATGGCCAACTGGGGAAAAAGTCCCCATAGCAACTTCATTAAGATTAAGTTGTTATAGGATCGTTGTGGCCCTTTAACCCCTCAAGGACCAAATGTTATTCTTTGCTGTCATCACATTCTGGTACTGACACAGAATATCCTGCTTGTTTTAGAATTGTTAGCTGAGATAACAGCCCTTTCGATGTTAGTTGAATGGGTCATTTCATTTTGGAATAGGATACTTAAAGAATAGATTGTTATGACTGTATAGATCATCATTGGGCCTTAAGGGGGTTAAATTCAGTAATGAGAATTTGCACCAAACTAAACTGCCTCTTATGTACTTTGCTCCCAAACAATTCCTGCAGAAGTCGTGGAAAACCCCAAAAGTTGTAGCTGATTTCACTTGCAATATTAAAAGAACACTTGCTTTAGGAATACAAAACTGTATTTCTAATGCTATAGCATCCCTCTTCCCTAAGGTTATTGTCCATAGGGGGGCTCCAGTTTGACGGATTTAAAAACCTTTTTAACACTTACCTCTTCCAGCGTCCGCCTTCTCTGACATTGGCAATCGGGACAAAATGTGCATGCCTGGCAAGCCCTGCACATGCATCAGGCATTCTCCACAGGAAAGCATTGAATTAATGCTTTCCTATGGGGTTTTTCAAAACATTGGACACTGGACATCCTAATGCAGTTTCTCTGAAAGCCCAGAGCACAGCTAAGGGGACAGGGACACTGCATCCACGCCACTTCAATGGGATGAAGTGGTCTAGGTGCCTATAGTGTCCTTTTAACAGGGCCAGCGCTACCATAAGGCGCGGTGGCACAAGCTGCTGCCTTAGGGTAACCCAAACCTGGGGGCGCAAGATTTGGGTGACCCACAAGAAGAGAGCACACAGTACAGCTTCACTAACCTGGTCTGACAGGAAGGGTGCTTAGAGATTGTTAAACTGCTTCCTGTTAGACTGGGTTATTAGTTTACTAAAGCCCCTCTGCCCCAGTCCACGGCTTGGCCATGCTACACAGGTGAAATGAGGAGGAACATGGGGGTAGGGGAAAGGGAATAAGACACACAGAGGGAAATTATACACATTGAGAACTGGGGGAGAGTGTGGGAATGAGACACAATGGGGGGAGCTGAGGAAATGAGACACATTTAGGGTAACTGGGGCAGTGAGACACATGGGGGGAGCTGGGGGAGTGTGACACATTGGGGAAACTGGGTGAGTGAGACACATGGGGAGAGCTGGGGGGAATGAGACACATTGGCGGAGCTGGGGGAATGAGAAACATGTGAGGGAGCTGGGGGGAGTGATACACATTGGGGGATCTGGTGGAGTGAGACACAAGGGGGAAGCTGGTGTAGTGAGACACGTAAGAGAGTTTGAACACAAAAAATAAGAATGAACATAGAACAAAAAAAAAGATAAGGTGTGGAAATTATACACATAAAAAGTGAATGTGACTTTTCTTACAAATCAGATATCCCCTCACTGAGAAAGTCAGAGAATTGGGAACTGTATGTTAGATGTATCAATGTTATGCTTAAATCTAGGGCATTAGCTTTCAAAAGCTTGCAAAAAGCTCTCAAAAAGCATGCAGAAAGCACAGATGGTACTTCTACGAAGCTAAAATGGTGCAAATAATCCATGTAGAAATCTCCAGGTCAACTGTGAGTAGTACTAAATCAAACATCTTTAAAATTCAATCTTGGTTACACAGTGCTATCTGTCCATCATGTAAGTTAACTTTACTCTATCCAAGGTCTTCTTTTGATGATAAATAGAACAAGAACAAAAATCATCTTTACATACAGATTATTCCACTTCACACTCATCTCCTTAAACATACCCCTAAGTTCTGTTATCTGCATGCCAAGTCATCAAACAATTGTTTAGCAGATCAATACACACAAGTTAGCAGACCTGTTTCCCCACTGATTCACTCATCTTACAGTATTTCAACTGCAGTTAAAAATTGTGAGTTAATAAAGCTCAGAATGGAAACTACTACATCCAGAAAACGATTTTCGCCTCTGATATATTGTGCATTCTGAACACTGTGTACATATGGGTGGATAGTAGGAATGGAATGAAAGGAAATATTTTTGCTTTGTAGAAATTATATATATATATAGATATGTTTTTTGCAAAATTCAATATATATATATATATATATACAAAAATACAAATTTTGTTGCACTCACTGCATATTCCACTGCTGGCCTGGTGCTAATCAGCAAAAACATAGAAAGGTAATGTAGATAGCACTCCTCGGTCTTTCTTGTAAGTAAAAAATAGCTTTTATTGCTCCAAATTAAAAGATCAACGTTTCAGTCTGCTGCTGCAAACTTTCATCAGGACATGTGGAGTGCTATCTACTTTACCTTTCTATATATATATATATTGAATTTTGCATAATATAATATACATTGAATTTATATATGTATTAAGGCCAAAGGCCTGTATTTGTGCGAGGAGTTTGAATCTATCTTATGCTTTAAAAACTCCCACTACCCTCTTACCTGGGCCGTTCTCGTTCAGGTGATAGGTTACCATGGTTACCACGTGGACTTCCGGTGCGAATCTTCCCGACAAAATTTTTCCCTGTACTTAGCTTCAGCCGCGAAATCCTACCGCTCCGGGCTACCAGCTTACTTTAAACCGCATCAGAGTCTCGTTGCCGGTCCACTTCCGGGTTCCTGTCTTGCGGTCTTCGCAGGTAACGCAAGGCTTTTTCCCGAATGCCCACTGCTGGTGTTTGTGCTATTTTATATACATAGGTACTGTGTTCGGTGCATCATAGGAGCTTTCGTGCCCTTTGCAGTGTTCGTGGAAACCAGGTTTCGTATTTCTTATGTTTTGTACGCATAATTACATACTTCATTGAACTTATTTAAACTAATTTATGGCTCAATATTTATTTATTCATGTATGAGCTATCTCTAGCTGGCTATTTACATGTCCCCACAGCGTTCTTTTTTTTATAACTTTTCGCTGTGTTTCATTATTATCCACATGTTACAAACACTAGGCATATGTTATGTTTTCAGTTTTACGTATTTGGCAGGTCTGGTGGTTTAGAATTATAAAATATATTTATGTTATGTCTATGTCTATGTTATGTCTATGTTAACGGATCACTATAGGGTCAGGAACACAAACATGTATTCCTGACCCTATAGTGAAAACCCACCATTTAGGTGGCTTGCCCCCCCTTAGCCCCTTCAAAATGGGTTAAAACTCACCTTATTTCCAGCTCTCCACGGGTCTGCTGGCTCTGGCCCTGTCCCCTTGGTGACATCATCAAAATTACAGATGTTTAGCCAATCCAATGCTTTCCCATGGGGAAAGCATTGGATTGGCTAAAATCAGCAAGGGGGTGTGGCCAAATGCCGTTTTGGTCAATCAGCACCTCCTCATAGAGATGCATTGAATCATGATTCATTGATGCATTAAATCGTGCATTTGAGTCAATTTACAGTACATCCTGGAAAACACCACATTGTCTGTGTTTTCACTTGCTAGCAGTCTAGCTTACTCGTATGCCCATTAGTTCTTGGGGGATGGCGTAGGGCTTGCCTTTTAGCATTGACCCTCGTATGGTCCACAATATGCATACATTTACGTTCTGATGATATAATTACGGTGTAAGTTCTATATATTCCTTTATTTCATGTCATTTCAATTCCTGTTTAGAATCCTTCCTTTCTATACTTTCCTGATATTAGAGGATACAGTGTATCTAAGCTTCTCACAGGTATTTCCAGCTCCCTTAATATATATTTTATTATTATCCTCCGTATTATTATACTCACATGTTCCTTTATTATTTAGAAATCCACATTTGTCCTAATTATAAAATATTATATAAACACACAGTTGATAATGCAATAAAACTTAATTTGAATTAGTTTAAACATTTTTTTTTAACCTAAAATACTTTGTTTCTTTTTATTTTAATCTGCTGAAGTGGACATTTTTTTTAAACTCCAAGTAAATTCTCAAGCCATCCTCAGTTGGGAGGATTAGATGTTCCCATTATTTACATTACTTAGCAATCTTATTACTAATATATTATTCTAAATCTCGAAAGAGCCTTCAGCTCCCTACAGAGGAAGAGGAGATGTTGAGTTGCTTTGCCCCCTTGTGACCCCCTCATACAAACAGACCAGTGAATGTCCATTAGCCTTGTTTATAAAGTAGAGAAAATCTGCAGTACCTTGGTAGCCATGGGTGTCTATTGAT